CCACGTAATTTTTTAAACTATGTAATGAATAGGGGTGGGTTAATATACATTAAGTTTTTCTTCTTCCCACTCCCTTTCGAGAAATTTGCTTTTCTGTTGTTTACAATGTATATTATTGATTCTCTCTTGGCACAAAATAAAATGAATGAATGAATGAATCAGTCAATCAATAATCCATTATGCTTGTGGATGGTTTCTTATCTCGATAGGCAGTTCCAAGTTTAAACAAAACACAATTGTAGGTATGTTTCTGATAAGACAGAAACACGGCGTAAATCTTTCAAGAGTCAGTTTTGTTTAATATATGACCTTTAACGGTGTGCCATAGGGTTTGTGAGAGCTCTGAACCAATTTACCAACCATTTAAATACACCCTTTGTTCTTGTGCAGTTTGGAAAGTCACTTAATGTAGCTTTAATAGGATTTTAATGAGGATATCTTCATTTTATGGTGCATGTCCTGGAGCGGCCGTGCTGTACAAATCTGGCATGAACTTTCAACAACCTTTGGACTAAAAGTTCAAATGGCTTTAGTGATTTGATGGGGAGCATGTATAGACTGTACATAAATCTAACCCGCTACCTGGCAAATTCCAAATAGCAAGTGAGCATGGCATGGCTTCTGGCTCCACCGACTCTGGCTCCAATCCACTTTCTACTGAAAAAACTGTTGCCTATCTGTCTATTGCTGCTGCTGTCAAACTCGTCATTTTGGTTTTAAAATGTTCATATTAAGTCGCTCTACATGATCTTGTTCTTTTTATTTTGCTATTTTGTCCATAAATCAAAACATGAACATTAATAATAGATAGAGGTGTGCAAAAATATCAATATATCATATCGTTTAATTTGATGATACAATATCGATATCATGGGCAGCTGTATCAATATCTCCAAGAGTATTTTCTGGTATGTTTTACTAAATTTGTTACAGCGCTACAGTTTCATTGCTTGTTTATGCAACACATTGGACTTTTTTTTGACATGTCATGTTTTGATTATTAAAATGTTTGTGTTTCATATTCACTTTGCACAAGAAGTGGTTTAACAAAGACTTTTAGTGTCACAGACATGATTTAGCCTTTACTTTTTATTGAACCGTATCGAATCAATTTGAAATATATCGTATTGAATCGTAAGCTCACTGTATCGAGATATGTATCGTTTTGTGGCGTAAGTATCGAGGTATGTATCATATCAGCAAATTCTGAATGATACGCAGCTCTAATAACAGATAAAACAGGCACTTTTTCCCCCCGAGGTTGCTCCAGCTTTCCAAATTCTGCTCCAAATTTAACTTCAAACCTCGATGAGCTTCATTTGACTAGAGCTGAACGTTATAGGCGACATCACACTCCCTCAGTCCACTTCTTTATAGACTCTTTGGGGACATCATAATTAAGAAAATGTATGCACAGTTTACTTCAAGCTCTATCAATTATACCGCTCCACACCGCAGCCCCGTCCAAGCTCCATTCTTAAAGACGTCCATTTAGTCATGACGGCTCACGGGCAGCTCGCCATAAGATTAAGTAAGAGCTGCAAATCAGGACACAGGACGCAGACTAAACGGGTGTTAGCTCACCTGCCCAGACTGGACCATCTCAGACTGTGACGGGGTAATCTGCTTTGCCTCTCACATGTCTGGACTTCAGGAGGTTTACTTCATGCACTTTGACAACACAGAGGAACAGGCTGCGTGGTTGTGAATTATGTAAGATAAGAATAATGAGTTTTGTAAATAGAATGATTGTGGAAACATAAGACATAAATGCATTTTTTGTATTTCATTGCACTATTCTGTTGTTTTTGAATAAATAAAAAAAAGTCAATATAAGGGTAGTGGTAGTAGTAGTAGGTAGCAGTAAACAACGGTGGTGGTGATGGTAGTGATAGTACTAGTACTAGTAGTAGTAGTGATGGTAGTGGTAGTAGTAGTATTAAGTATATAACGGTGGTGGTATTAGTGATAGTACTAATAGTAGTGGTGGTGACAGTAGTAGTAAGTAGTAGCAAATATAACAATGGTGGTATTAATGGTAGTAGTTGTAGTTGTAGTAGTTGTAGTAGTTGTAGTTGTAGTAGTTGTAGTAGTTGTAGTTGTAGTAGTTTTAGTTGTTGTATTAGTTGTAGTAGTAGTAGTAGTAGTAGTAGTGGTAGTGGTAGTGGTAGTTGTAGTAGTTGTAGTTGTAGTTTGTAGTAGTTGTAGTAGTTGTAGTAGTTGTAGTAGTTGTAGTAGTTTTAGTTGTTGTAGTTGTTGTAGTTGTTGTATTAGTTGCAGTAGTAGTAGTAGTAGTAGTAGTGGTAGTGGTAGTGGTAGTTGTAGTAGTTGTAGTAGTTGTAATAGTGGTTGTTGTAGTTGTTGTAGTAGTAGTAGTAGTAGTAGTAGTAGTAGTAGTAGTAGTAGTAGTAGTAGTAGTAAGTAGTAGTAGTAGTAAGTAGTAGCAAATATAACGGTGGTGGTAGTAGTAGTTGTTATAGTTGTAGGTAGTAGTAGTAGCAGTAGTAGCAGTGGCAGTGGTAGTAGTAGTAGCAGTAGTAGTAGCAGTAGTAGTAGGAGTAGCAGTAGTAGTAGTAGTAGCAGTAGTAGCAGTAGTAGTAGTTGTTATAGTTGTAGGTAGTAGTAGTAGCAGTAGTAGCAGTAGTAGTAGTTGTTATAGTTGTAGGTAGTAGTAGTAGCAGTAGTAGTAGTAGTAGTAGTTGTTATAGTTGTAGGTAGTAGTAGTAGCAGTAGTAGTAGTTGCATTCATAGTGACACCATATTTTATTATTGTTACATTCAAACCAACATTTTGATAAACTGAAAAAGAAAGGACTTATAGTTTTTTGTATACTTTTATATTTTAGTTTAATTATTTAGCTTGTGAGTTTTAGTCCATGTTATAATGCTGTTACCTCCTCAAAAACAGACCTGGAGTTCTGTTTTGTTTCATTCACACATCTGAATTTCAGTGTTTTCAGAGCGAGAGAAGAAATATGTAGGATTTGTGTGTTAAACATGTATAAAAGAAACAAAACACAGCTCCAGTTTGTGATGACGATTAAAACATAGATGAGAAAATAGTGTAATATGGGCTCTTTAACAACTTAATAGCTGTTTAAATCAAATCCTCCTCACGTTTAGCATGTGTTAATGTCATTTTGCGCCTCCTTCTCTGCTCCAGGTGAATTCAAACGCCTTTCCTCAGCCTTTCGTTGGGAGCGGCTACCACAATGAGATTTGTCTGGCTATAATTGGGTTAGCGGAATACCCAGAGTGCATTGCCAAAGCTGTAACATCATCCAGGTAGCAGCCGCCCGCACTATCAGCTGGAGCAGGAGATCAGGAATTCATTGGTGTGACTCATAATCTCATAAACATGTGATACACTATATGAGTCAGTGTGAAGGAAATGTGCAGCCCTGTTAAATGAATAGGAAAAGGCCCTTTGAATCCATCACAGTATCAGTGTTAAACTCATAGCGGTCTCCAGTAGAGGCATTAAAGTGGGCGTGTGTGTGATAGTATTACTGACTCAGCTTGTGCCACGGCTGATTGAATTAACAGATCTGAGGGGGAAAAAAGTTCACATCCCAGAGCGAAAGCTGCTAATGTGCAAAGCATATGGACGGTGAAAGCTGTGGTTTGTGAGTGGGAAAGGAACAAGTCACCAATGGCAGTTCATACAAAACTTTACGATTGACTGGAATTACTAATCAAACAATTACTGATCATATTGTTCGTGGTTAAACGTACTTCAGCTGTCAGTTGCTGTTCGAGACATTTTCTTAAACAGTTAATCAAAATTTGAGCTTATTGCTTAAGGTGACCATCACAATATATATTGAATTACAAGTCTCTTAAGAGTTAAGGTGCAGCAGTAGGTAAAAAAAATACAGAGGGAACTACATAGACCATGATCCTTTGCTCCATTTCAGTGCAGACTACAAGAAGAAATAACAGTTTTAAACACTTTAAAGTCTTAGTTCTTTGGGTTAAGTCTTGTCAAGGCATTTTAAGAGGAAAAAGTCACATTTTCACAGTTTTGTTGGCCTCCACAAAATATCTCAATAAATATCATAACATGAGATGTATATCATGAAAATATTGTACCGAGAGATTTGGATATTGTTACACCCCTAGTGACTAACATTACAAAGCAAGATGGATTCTCGTGATCTTTGTGAGTTCACAAACTCACGAGAATCCATCTTGGAGTGCGCCCGATGTACAGATAATCAGATGGGTGGATCAGTCATGTCACAGCATTGAGGTTTGTGCTGAAGCTAAACGTGAAGTACCCAAATAAACCAAAACAAACATGGCTACACCGACAGACCTTAACCTATTTTAGTGCCAATATAGATTATTTTGTTTGTGAAAAACATGGAAAAGGTAAGAGCTTTGTGGATTTGTGGATGGGGAAGATGTCTGTGCTTTTCTCTCAACTGGATGTAACTAAAGTTTGATTTTGGACTTGCTCTGCTGTTGTGAGACTTCGACCAACCAGATTTAAATATTCGTCATGACACTCCCTTTTTTCAGATCTCTTTTACTTAGAGCCGTCTCAGATTGATATTCTATAGAACAGGGGTCTCCAACCTGTTGCTCAGGAGCTGTCGATACCTCTCTTTTTATTATTGTACATGTATCGTTTTGATGCCCAACTTTGTGCACTAATAAATGAATAATGGTTTATCTTTTATAGGCAACTAACTGTACCTCATCTCATCGCCGTGGCTCTTTTAAGTATTAAATATTTTGTTAACGCTAAAATTAGTAGCTCCCTGGCATTTTGTTTGTAAAAGTAGCTCACCAGAGGAAAAAGGTTGGAGACCCCTGCTATAAAACATATTTCAGAGTGACACAGATCAGTTTGGCATGAGCCAGGTTATAAGACGACAACATATCAAATCACATTTGTTCTTTGGAAAAATGGGGGAAAAAACATATTATAACAAAAGTATATATATTTTTTCCTGCTTTAGCTTAATCATATTTTTTATGTCTGTGTTTTTCAGAGCAAGGAGATTGCCTTTCAGCTTCAGGAAGACTTGATGAAAGTCCTTAATGAGCTCTACACAGTAAGTACATCTTACAGTCCCTGTGTCTATTCACTTTATATAGGTCAACCCACTAGAACTGTGCTGGTTGGTGTCGCACAAAACATAAATGGACTGAAAAATGAACTACAAAAGTGCAGAAATAATATAGTATGACATTAAACAGCTCTACCTTACATTTATTAAATTACAGGTGGTTTTGTTGCTCAAAACTGTCTAGAAAAATGGGCATCCTGACTCTGAGCGTGGTCACCTCTCCACAGATCTGACCTTTAACTTGGTCTTGTTCTGTCTCCATGAAAATAAAACGGTTTATTGCCATACTGTGACACATTCCAGACAAAGTGATAACAGAAAAAGCATTTGACTGCCGCTCCACCAGAAAAGTTACACAATGCACCTTTGAGAACTCTTGAAATCATATAACTTTTCATTATATCACCCACCTCTATGTAAACATGGTATATTTGTAACTCTATCTCGTCCACACAGACTCTGACCTGCCTTAGCCTCTGAAGAACAACATAAATGTGGACGGAAACACAAAACATTGCATCAGACAGCCACAGACCTATTGCTGTAAACCACCAATGAAATAACAGGTTTCCTCTGAATTTAAATATGTTTCTGATTCTAAAACGAGCTCCAAAATCAACACAACCGAGCCACGTCTAAACCAGTAAGTGTGGAGTGTGTGTCCCCGGTCACTCTTCTCTCTGTAAACTGGTTCCAGAAAAGGGCATGGATCTTAAACAAGTCTTTTACTAAAATAACAAATTCTGGTGCGAAGATGGTTAGAGACGGTTTTCTGTTTGTATTTATGTCAAAACTTGCCACTTGATTCATGTACACAAGTTTCAGAGTTGTAATTAAGCAGGGTTAGTGTAGAATTTGCATACATCTGCCAGACAGTGCTTTTTTTCTTAGCATTTGTATAACCAAACAAGAATCGTCATTTTAGTATTGAGAATATCAAGATTATCACGTCATACAAACTCCAGCAAAAACATTAAAGTATCAAATATCATCAAATATTACAGAAAATTGACTCTTGTGAGCTTTAAGTCATGTTATAATGTTGTTACCGCCTCAAAAAAAGACCAGGAGTTGTGTTTTGTTTCATTCACACATGTTTGAGTAACCCTGCATTAATAGTCTGTTTACATCTCCAATGCTAAAAATGCTTTCTTCCACCTTGTGATGTCATGAAGAGGTAGTTTTCAAGTTAACCGCTACCTTTTCTGATTTAGAGATTTGCACTTCCAAGGCTGAAATTAAGTAAATTCTACAACAAACCAAATTCTAGTGGAAATGTATGCAGTTTGAAAACACTGTGGAGCACTTTCTGTGTTACCACATGACATCACAAGGTGGATCAGAGTGTTTTCTGTTGAAGAGAAGAAGGATATCTGAGTTAAACATGTGTCAAAGAAACTAAACAAACTCCAGGTATGTTTATAATGAGGAAACAACATTATAACATAGATCAGAAAATGATGTAATATGGGCCCTTTTAATACATACAATTGAATTTTAAAATAATAATGTTATTATTTTTATAAATGTTGACTCCGCTCTTAAATTGTCTATAGGAAAGTAACACAATGACAGTTCAGATTTTCTGTGTATAATCATACCATCTGACCCTATTTTGGTATCGTCATTAGGGTTGGGCAGTAATATGGTATTACTGTATCCAACGGTATCAGTTTCATTACTGTCATTCTGTCATCAAAAAATCTGCAGCGCATAAGGACCTAATATAATATCATTATTTATTGATACCTAAATTAGTTTGCTCAGCACAAATTAATATGTGGTTGTATTTTCAATTCAATGTTATTACAATTCATAAATAATAGTGTCTATAATGTTTCTTTTAACTGTGTGGGGAGATGATGTTCGATTAGTTTCATTCCGTTGTCACATGACATTCATAAGGGAGACCAAGACAAGATGGTAAGTCTGGCTGCAAATGAGTTGGTCCCAGAGGAAAAAAAAAAAAAAATAGTAGTACTTCTGCAATTTGACGGCATTTTAGCTTCAGGTGCGCTCTTGTTTACGTTTTACAGAAACGAAACTTAAAGCCACATGGCTCATTTGCATAAACTATAAAGCGCTGATAAAAACAGCTCGCTCCTTGTGTGTTGATGCAGTTTAGATTCTGTCCGACTAAAGGACACGACTCAGTGGCATATAAGTGTTGTTTCTGTGACAGAGGATGTGCTGCTGATGGTGAGTCTGTTCTGTGCTTCTGTCGTGTTGGAGATGGTTCATGTGAAACTTTTCAGATATTATAAATCTGCAGATTATACACATAGACCATGTATAGAGGTGCGACTTCGTATCTTACCAAAGTCGTACTAAAACATTTTGGTAATACGGTAATACCGTATACTCCGGTAAAATCCTGAGTAGGTTTAACAGTATCAGAATTTGGATACCGCCCAACCCTATTATCATTATTTATCTTTAAAGATTCACTGTGTAACTTTTCTGGTAAGAGTCCAGCTCCTGGTTGTGTCCATGAAGATATGCCAAGGAGATGGGTTTACCTGGAATGTACCACAGTATAGCATTAAACTTGCATATTATTTAATTATAGGTGTTTTTTTTTTTTTCAGTATCTTCAAAAATATGCATTCTAGGAAGCTGTGTCCAACATTGTGGACCGCTGTAGTCTCCCCCAAACAGTTTCCTGCGTCTCCTGTGCCGTGGAGGCTGGTGGCTGCCTGTTACATATAGCTCCAGTGATTTGTGGCCGTAGTGGTCTCAGGACTGGCCCTTATTAAAAGACTGGAGAAATCTGTTTTTGGTTTGTGGTTCTGGGAGAGTCTTGAGATGAGTTCTTTATGATGAATGAAATCTGGGCATATGGTGGGAGGCGTATTTACAGGCAATGAGCAGTCCATTTCAAATCTGACTGTCTCTGTGTATTTATACTGGACTAAACATACTATTATTAAAGGTAAATGCTAACATGGGTCCATCGCCTGTTTGTCTCCATGGATATGATATTATTTTGCCTGGAATATTCCATAGTATTGCTTCCAAATTGTTTTGGAATTGGAGACAAGTAGATGAAGTGTAGAAGCTTTAAGCCACATTATAATGTTGTTACCTCTTCAAAAATACACCCGCAGTTGTGTTGTGTTTTATTTACATGTTTGACTAATTCTTTATTATTTGTCTGTCTTCATCTCCAAAGCTCAGAATGCTCTGTTCCACCTTGTGATGTCATAATGCGGTAATTTTCAAGTTAACGACTACTTTTTAGTTTTTGTTCAAAAGAGATTGGCAATTCCAGGGCTGAAATTATTGAAATGTTTCTAGTGAAGGTGTAGAGAGTTTAAAAACACAGTGGAGCACTTCCTGTATTACCACATAGCATCATAAGTTAAAACAGAGTATTTTCTGTTTGAGAGAAGTACATAGTCTAAATATGCAGGGTTTATGTTTTTGTTTTTGATGAGGAAACATAACATAGATCAGAAAATGGTGTACTATATTTTTCGGACTATAAAGCTCACTTAAAATCCTTTAATTTTCTCAAAAATCTACAGTATGTTTTATAATCCGGTGCACCTTATGCATTAATTCTGCTTGTGTTTACTGACCTTGAACTGATTTTATGTGGTACACGGCGCTCCAAAATCTTTCAAAATGTTTTAGTACGACTTTGGTAAGCTACGAAGCCGCACCGCTTGATGGATTGTCGGAGCTTTACGTCTACCGTAGTCAGGAGTCTCACAGAGTAAAGCCCAATTTACAGTCCTTAGTCCAACAGAAGCTGACTGCATCAGCGCACAAGGAGCAAACTGTTTTTTCAGAGCTTATAGTTTATGCAAATGAGCCATGTGGTTTTAAGTTTCGTTTCTGTAAAATGTAAACAAATGTGCGCAAAGCTGCATTAAACACATTATTACTCTATGTATATTTGAGTCGTCCTCGTAGAAAAAAAAAAAAACAACTTAAATGACCCACCCACATTCACATTCATAATACACATTCACCAAGACAGGAGGGCAACGGCGGGCGAAGTACACCACGATCTGCCAATGGATTGTGGACGCCTGGGCTAAGGATCAGTCTCAAGTGTCGTCCGTTTGTTTCGTTTACTGCACCTTATAATCCGGTGCAATTTATGTATGAAAATAGACAAGAGAATTCAACATTATTGATATTGCTCCTTATAATCCGGTGCACCTTTATAATCTAAAAAAATATGGTAATAAGAACTCTTAGCCATAGTGTGGAGCATTCAAGGCAGAACAATAACATCTCCATGGAGACAAGCAGATAGCTGACCACTCACCAGACAAGTTTCACAGCTGACCATTAACATCTCTGTGGTTTATTTGCAGGTAATGAAGACCTATCACATGTACCACTCTGAGAGCATCAGCGCAGAGAGCAAACTGAAGGAGGCGGAGAAGCAGGAGGAGAAACAGATCGGCCGAGGAGACCCTGTGTTCAGCATCAGGATGGAGGACAAATACCAACGACGGAGCTCAGTCAAGAAGATCGAGAAGATGAGAGAGAAGGTACGATAATATTCAAACTAATTTATACCACTGACACAATAACTCTAAGCAAGTTCATCCTCAAAAAACTACTGTAAATGTTTCGTATGGTTAAACACAAACTGGGTACGTAAATAAATGGAAGAATGAAACACTTTAGTAGTTATTGTATCTATAATGAGATGTAGAATTTATTTATTCGACTCTCTCAGTAACATTTAGAGATGCAGATTATTTTAATCAATTTTCAAAACATTATACCTAGGGCTGGGTATCATTAAGAAGTTGCTGAAACGACACGTACTTCGATACACAGTCCACGATACGATATGCTTTTCAATACAGTGAACTTTTGATTCAGTACGATATATTTCACATCAATTCGTGAAAAACAAAGACTAAATCGTGGCTGTGATACTAAAAGTCTAAAAGTTTGTGCACAGTTAATATGAGCAAACACCCATTTACTCAAAACTTGGAAAATTTCAACACGACTGTAGCTCTTGCACAAATTTATTTAGTAAAATATACCTAAAAATACTTTTGATATTATATCAATACAGCAGCCCATTATATTGATATTGTATCAGTTCATTAAATGATACGATATATCGATATTTTGGTATTTTTTCATACCCATAATTATATTCTTAGTCACAATTCCTATAAACGTGTGTCTGGGAAGTGGAATCATGATGAGTCAGACTCTACTGGTCAGCAACAAGTGACTAATAAACAGTCTAATGCCACAGGAACTAAAGGAAAGGCAAAATAATAAAACAATACCAGCCATGCCACCCTGAGAATGTCTGATTCAGTCTGGTCTCAGGAGCCAAGCAGGGTGGGACTGGGTAGTATGAGGATGGGAGACCGGAGACGGTGAAGGATCCTGTAGTGGGACATACTGTACATACTTTCAGTGTCTCTTTTGGCAAGACACTTCGCCCACCGTGCCTTGGCGGTGCCCAGAGGGACTGATGTCTCTGACTGGCTTCTGTCAGGTTACACCAGGGCAGCTGTTGCTACAGAAGTAGGTTACCAACACCAAGCTTGTACTGAATGAATAACACCTGGAAAAGCACTGTATAATGAAGAATTATTATTTCAGTGTAGTATGTACCTTTTAGCTTGAAATATAAATGTAAAAACACAGTAAACTTAAAGTGCCTGTTAAAGGTTGGACTACTACCACTAAAACACAGTTAACATCATTAGATAGATTTAACATTTTAGTATTTTTTTTAGGTTTCAGATTTTGACAATGATAATGAATTCCTGTTACATAGCAACCACCTTGTATTTGTTTTTTTATTTATGCATTTATTTTGGGCAAGTAAGAAATTTACATTCTTTTACAATAGAACATATAACATTCATGAAATCATAGCATAAATAACAACAACAGCAACAACAACAACAAAATTGACCCAAAAAGGAGTGGGAAGAAGAAAACATATTTAATCTAACCACTTGTAGCCTGCTGGTGCCACCTAGTGCCTTTGCTCAATTTAATTTCTCTCCAGTGACTAGGTCAGAAATCAAAATACACTAGACGGTTTACAAGAACCCCGGAAATTGTAGATGGCGCACCGGCCAATCAGCGAAGAGCTGTGAAGCCATGACGTCAAACTCAAGCGCCTGTCTGGGTCCCCTTTGTGATACAGCACAACAGTAAACAAAGCGTCGAGATGGATTTAGATAAAGTCATACATTTTGTGTTGGCAACAATTCCCGAGATTGAGGATTTTAAGCCGGAACAAAGAGAATGTTTGGTGAAGTTTATCAAGGGGCAAAGACATTATTGTCCTTCTTCCTGCGGGATTTGGTGCATTACATACATCAAGACCAAATAGCAGTGATTGGCTAAATTAAAAATAGTACCCGCCTGCTGTCGAGCGAATAAATCGTAATGCTGCGAGGTCAGAGGGTTTCTACGACGTGAAACCAGCTGATGAATCAGGTTAACCATCTTGTACACTGGGCTAAAACTCCTCTCATGTACACAGAGATTATTATATGACAAATAGAAATATTAGAAAACACCTTTATATTGTTGAAATAATATTAAAAATAATGGGGGAAAAAAAATTGTTTCTTGTATAAATTTTGCAGAACGTTTGGACAGAATTCTCCTAGTGTGATATCAGCATATAGAAAAAACTTTTTCTTCACAAACTGCTTCTCAGTTGGTGTAGAAGTGTAATTTATATTTACAACAGGCATATCCAGCCAAAGATTTGTCATTTGTCATTAACTCTCTCTCACTTGTCCATTTCTTTCCCCAGCGCCAAGCGAAGTACTCAGAGAACAAGCTCAAGTCGATAAAAGCCAGAAACGAGTACCTGCTGACGCTCGAAGCCTCCAACGCCTCCATCTTCAAATACTACATCCACGACCTGTCAGATCTAATCGATGTGAGTTCAAACTGCAGCGTTTTCTTCTATTGCTCTCTATTCCTGTGTCTTTGACTGAAATGGGAGCAGCGGTACATGTTTTAAGTGCATTCTCGTGTATCCGTCTGCGGGTTATTAAAGGTCCAGTGTTACACAGAACTGACTCTTGTGAGCTTTTAGTCATGTTAAAATGGTGTTTCCTCATCAAAAACATACCTGGAGTTGTGTTTTGTTTAATTCACACATGTTTGAGTTGAGGTGCATTATTAGTCTATCTACATCTCCAAAGCTCAAAATGCTCTGGTTCAACGTGTGATGTCATGAAGCGGCTCTTTTCAGATTAACGGCTGGTTTAAGAGGGGCAGTAAAGAGGCTTCCTTAAACAGAAATGAACAACTCAGACATTGTCTCCTATTAACAACTCCATCCTCAAACAAAATCAAAACAAACAAAGAAAATAATAGGGAAAGTCAGGTCAGGACTAGAGGTGATGCCTGAATGATTCTGCTAATAAGACCCACACTCAGGTCAAGTTCAATAGAATGTTTATTCCAACAGTAATGCATAGGACATGTAGCCAGGCTGGCGCCACCTAGTGCCTCCACTCAATTTAATTTTTCTCCAGCAACTAGGTCAGGAATCAAAATATAGACGGTCCGCAAAAACCTCGGAAGTGGAAGTTCAGGCACCAGCCAATCAGCGAAAAGTCATATATTCTGTGTTGTCAAAGATTCTTGAGATCGAGGATTTAAAGCCGGAACAAAGAGAATGTTTGGTGAATTTGAGATTTGGAAAAAAGCTTAATATACCATTTAGCCCCGTTAGCAGCGCATTACACAGCGTGACTACCAAATAGAAGTGATTGGTTAAATGATAAAAACTACCCGCCTACCGTCGAGTGAACGAACCTGCGATGTCAGACAGTTTCTACAAATTGAAACGAAGTGAAACTGGCTGATGAATCAGGCTATAGGACATGCACACACATACACATATATGTACACACATATACACTAAGCATGTATTTCTTCAGCATTTCTTCAGTATTTTGAAATAATAACTTTTTGAACTGCACTTTTTGGACAAAGTTTTAGTTCTATTTTCATGTTCCTCCATAATTTTACATCACAGACAGAGATACAAAAACTCTTCTTTGTCATTCGAGCTGGAGGTACTTTAAAATTTAGAAAGCCTCTTAAATTATAGTTGCCTTCCCTTTCACAAAAATGTAGTTGGATATTTTTTGGTAAGTGGTTTTCTTTTAGCCTTACACATGACTTGTGCAGTTTGGTACAATAATCAAATCGTTCAGTTGAAGTAATTTGGTGTGAATAAACAATGGATTAGTGTGCTCATGAAATCTGACATTATAAATAGTTCTTATTGCTCTTTTTTGAAGTTTCATCAATGGTTCTATTGTGGCTTTATAGTTATTGCCCCAGATTTCTGCACAGTCTGTTAAATATGGTAAAACCAGAGAACAATAAAGCATGTGTAGTGGAAACTGTGAACAAGTAGGTGTGTTAGTTTCAGAGTAGTCTCAGTGTAGTTAGCTCCTCCCTGCAGGCAGATTTAAGGAAGTGTCCACCTGCCTTTTGACCAAAACTGAAGAAGTAGCTTGGATGAACTGCGGAATATATTCAACCAAAATAAACTTCTGTCCAGTTGACAAATTGAATTTCTCCTTTGCCATGGACAACTACCTGGACGACTGAGGGATTGTACACACAAGTTAACGGCTAAAATTTACATTTTGTTCAGGAGAGACTGGAAATTTCAGAGCTGAAATTATCCAAATGATTCTAGTGATGGTTTATCGAGTTTTAAAACAGAGCGGAACATATCTTGTATTATCACATGACATCATAAGGTAGAACAGAAGCAAAGAACTCAGCCTAAACATGCAGGCTTTGTGTGTGAAACATGTGTGAATGAAACAAAAACTCCAGGTACAGTATGTTTTTGATGAAGAAAGCAACATTAAAACATAGGTCAGAAAATAGCGGAACATGGGCCCTTTAACGAATGACTCACTGACTTTCTGAGCGGAGGTAAAATGATAACTATAGAGGAAAGTGAGGATCTGAGCGGCAGAGTTTGATGTATAAATGGCTCTGAAACAGCAGCCTGTGAGCTGAAAATTACAGAGCGGGACAAATGAAGGCTTCATATTAACAGTTAGAGAAGCATTTCCACGTCACTCTTCCTCATGAACCCTTTAAAAGTTCAGATAATTTGCTCTGCTGCTTTTGTTTAAGGCCTGAATTTTACTGTTGGAATCATTTAAGATGTGAAAGATTTAAGATGTAAATTACTATGAAAAGACACATCATAAGAGATCCACCACAGAATTGCTTCCATGGTGATGTTATTGCTTTGCCTGAAAGGTTTCACAGTGTGGCATTAAACTCATCTATGTTTCATGTATTCATTTATTCCGAATTTTGTTTTCACGTTGTTTCCTCATCACAAACAGACCTGGAGTTGTGTTTTGTTTCATTCACACATGTTTAACACACAAACCCTGCATATTTAGGTTGAGTTCTTCTCCCAAACTGAAAACACTGTTCCACCTTGTGATGTCATGTGGTAATACAGGAAGGGCTCCATTGTGTTTTTAAATGGAGTGAACATGATTAATTGAGATTCAGGAGCTGGACCACGCTTCAACGTCATCTCCAGCCAACCACAGCTTATCTCAACCACGCCTTCAATTACCCAACAACAAATTACCCGTTCGCATCAACTCTCTCGACCCCCTCTCTCCCACCTGTGTCTTTCGCCCATTCTTCAGTCCGAAAACGTCATCTTCAAGGAGCTGGGTGACCATTTTGAATTGGAGTCTACACCCAGCCGTCACATCTATCTGCCGTCAACAAACATCTTTAACGTGTTCCATTGTTGTGCCGTGGTCTTTGCTAGTGAATCGCCATACACCTTCACGGGAATAATTTGGCAATTCCAGGCCTGAAATCATCCAGTCTCCACTAAACAATAGGTAAAAGGCAGCTGATAACTTGAAAATGATCACTTCATGACATCACAAGGTAGAACAGCCACCTAATGCCTCCATCCAATTTCATTTGTCTCCAGCAACTAGGTCAGGAATCAGAATACACTAGACTGATTGCAAGAACCCCGGAAGTGCAAGTTCGAAGAGTCATACATTCCTTGTTGGCAACGATTCCCGAGATCAAGGATTTAAAGCCGAAACAAAGAGAATATTTGGTGAATTTTATCAAGGGGAAAGACGATATTGCCCTTCTTCCTACGGGATTTGGGAAAAGCTTAATATACGGCGCATTATATATATCATGACCAAATAGCAGCGATTGATTAAATTAAAAAAAAGTACCTGCCTACCATTGAGCGAACGAATCCTAACACTGTGAGGTCAAATGGGTTCTATGAAGTGAAACCGGCTGATGAATCAGGCTAATGTAGATGGACTATAATAAAGGAATGCTCAAGCGTGTGTGAATGAAACAAACCACAAGTCCAGGTATGTTTTTGATGAGGTTACAGTATTATAACATGGCTTAATATTCACATAATTAGATTTTGCGTAATATACAGTAGAACCTTTTAACCAAGAAAATATTCACTCTTATCAGTGATCTGTTGCTGGATGTGTCTGACTCATTCTTTTGGGTTCTGATTGTTTCCTCAGTCAAATAAACTTGCAGCAGCACTTTCTGTGGCGTTTCTACGGAAACAAGAATAGGACCGGCTCTTTGGGGGTTTTATATTCAAGACAGGGCTGAGGCAGGAGCCACGCACAACCTCTATTCAGCATCAAGCTGTGCACAGAAATTACCCTCTCCACGCATTTCTCACAAGCCTTCACATCTCAACACGCCGCGTCTCTGTGTGTGTATGTTTGTATCTGTGTGTGTGTGTGTCTGCGTACCTGCGTGTGTGTTTTTGTGAGCTCAGAGACAGCCCTGCACACACATTTGTTCATAGCAAAAGGTGTTATGTTATCTGACACAGAGCACACTATGTGACTACAATGTTAATGTTAGTATTATAGATGGACCTGATAGTGGAGTAGGTTTGAGGTTAACATCAGGATTCTTCTCCATGCTTTCAGTCCACTCACACTTATCACAATTCTGATGTCAACTGCTGCTATAATAAAGACAAACGCATCAGTCGAGTACATCAGGGTCATCCACGGTTTTTCAAGGGCCTCATATAAACACAAATACAGACAAATAGGGATGTAACAATAACCAAAATATCGTGATATCGTATCGTCAAAGTTCTCACAATAATATCGTGGACCATCACAATATATCAATTACAAGTCTCTTTGCTTAAATTCACAGTTATAGTGCAGCAATAGCAAAAAAAAAAAAAAAAAAAGACAGAGGGAACTACATAGACCATGATCCTTTGCTCCATTTCAGTGCAGACTACAAGAAGAAATAACAGTTCTAAAAACTTTTAGGTCTTAGGTTCTTTGGATTAAGTCTTGTCAAAGCATTCTAAGAGGAAAAAGTGACATATTCACAGTTTTGTTGGTCTAAACAAAATATCGCAATAAATTTTGTACCCTGAGATGTATATTGTGAAAATATCGTACCGAGAGATTTGGATATTGTTACATCATGAACCTCCCCACCATATCCTGAGCTTTCCCACGATATCGCAATAAATATCGTACCATGACGATATCGTATCATGAGACTTGGATATCGTTACATCCCTACAAACGACGCAGAGGTACGATCAAGAGCCATAGGCTGGTGATTAATACGTAGGTCTGGGTATCATTAAGAAGTTGTCCTTACCTTACCTCGATACATAGGCCTCGATACGATACGTTTTTCAATACAGTGCACTTTTGATTCAGTAAGATCTGATATAGTATATTTCGAATCAATTTTCAAATCGATTCGATACTGTCATACTAAAAGTCTATTAAGTCCACCAAGTCTGCACAAATTTGATATGAAAAACTCCCATTTTACTCAAAACAGTGAAAATGTCAACACAATTGTTGCTCTTACACAAAGTAATATAGGAAAATATAACTAAAAATACTCTTGGCGATATAACAATACAGCAGCCCACGATATCAATACTTTATTATCAGATTAAACGATACAATATATCAATATTTCATTATTTTGCACAGCCCTGTTAATGCTGTGAATCACTGAAATCTGTGCATTTATAATGATCATTTTTGAGAGTCAGTATTTATCGTGAATACTTTTTTCTTTACTTGTGGGAAGTTCGGGTAATTTTTTTCTGCAATAGAATCAAATTTGAGCTGTCAATCCAATCCAATCCACTTTATTTATATAGCACGTTTGTAAACACGACAGTTTCCGAAGTGCTGCACAGACAAATTAATACAATAAAAGACAGTAAATCATAATTAAAAACAATAAATAAAAAGTGTTAAAATGCATCAAGCTAAAAATTAAAAAACAATGAATAAAATCAAATAAATAAAAGACACAGAGGACCACACAACTCACACGGTGTCATGTTTTTATTAACGATACTGTACATTTAGAATAGTTTTTTGGGGATGATTCTGATTTAGGGTTTGTTTATGTTACTGTATTATTGTTTCGTGTATCGTTTATATTTTCTTCAGCAATTCAACGTACTTCAAAATGAGCCATCAGTCCTTTAGTCAAGCTTAGATTCTCAAAAACACAAGGGTATATTACAATTCACCTGAAAGCCAAGAAAAACGGGTCCATAGTTTAGGCATGAATGGTCTGGTGTCTTGTTAAAAAAAGCAAAACAAAACTAAGAAAATAAGAGATTCAACTGACAGTGAAGAACCACAAATACACTAGAAATGTGAAATATTTAAAGATTCTCTTTCTGTTCCTCAGTGCTGTGACCTGGGTTACCACGCCAGTCTAAACCGAGCCCTGAGAACGTACCTGTCTGCTGAATACAACCTGGAGACGTCCCGACATGAAGGTCTGGACATCATTGAAAACGCCGTGGACAGTCTGGACCCCAGGAGTGACCGGCAGAGGTTCATGGAGATGTTTCCTACAGCCTTTTGTCCACCGTGCAAATTTGAGTTCCAGCCCCATATGGGAGATGAGGTACATTATAGCGTTTTGTACAGTAATTCTTTATTAAACTGTATCTTTTTTATGTTTTTGATTCATTTACTTCTATTTTGTCTCCAGGTCTGTCAGGTTTCTGTGCAGCCACCAGTCAATGGAGAGCTAATATTGAGATTTCAACAGCTCCAGTCTCGGCTTGCCACTCTAAAGATTGAAAACGAAGAGGTACAAAAAGATATTATTTTCAAATACACAACATGTCAAAAGCTCAGGGATTTTCTGCTGTTCTATTGAAAAGTGTTGTTTATATGAAGACAGAAGCCATTTCAAGATGTATTTATTTTGACGTTTAGAAAGTTATCTACAACTCCTCCTTTTCAAACACATTTTAAAACCAACTGAAGACATATATTGATATTCAGTATCTGTCTTTAGCTGTATTTATATTTCAGCTCTGGCCCACACTATATTTGATTTTCTGTTCAGCATCAGATTCAATTGAATTTAACGCCAGTCGCTGTACAGGGTTTCATGGGATTGGTGATTTAATCTTCCAAAAAGAAACAATGAACATATTATGAACAAATTTCAGTATTATTGCAAAATATTCCTAGTATTTATTTTAGTTTTGTCATCAGTGTCATCAGAGTTTACACTTAGACTTGCATTTATTAAAGGTGCATTGTTTAACTTTTCCAGTGGATGGTCTGTCAAATTCTTCTCTCCGTGGAGATGTTATCACTTAAATCTTTCTATTCTATACTGAACTTTAAGTCATGGTACAGATTTGTGGAGAGGCGACCCCGCTCACTGTTAGAGTGCCTGTTTTTCAAGGTATTTTTGAGCTATAAAACCCCCTGTAATTGAATAAATGTGAAGTAGAACTGGACAAACATTTATTGAGGTCGCAGCTCATCCAAGCTTCAGTTCTGAACTGAGGAAGCCGCTTGGATGAGCTGCGAAATGTTTTTGACCTAAATAAAAGTTTGTCTAGTTGACAAATTGAATTTCTCTGTTGCCATGGATTCTAAATATCCTGATTCATCAGACGGTTTCACTTGACCTGAGTTGACCTTTTAAAGCTGACCTCGCAGCTTTAAAATTCGTTCACTCGACGGTTGGTGGGTACTTTTTTTTTCTTTTAATCAATCACTGTTATTTGGTCGTGACGTATGTAATGTCTTCTCTTCCGGCATTAAATCCTCGATCGAATCGTTGCCAACACAGAATGTATGGCTCTTCGCTGATTGGCTGGTGCCTGAACTCGCACTTCCGTTTTTTTTGTTGTTTTGTTTTGTTTTTGCGAACCGTCTAGTGTATTTCGATTCCTGACCTAGTCACTGGAGATAAATGAAACTGAGCGGAGGCACTAGGTGGCACCAGCCTGGCTAGATTCTACCTCGACAACTGAGGGATTGTACACACGTAAAGTAGAAGCAGCTTAATCTCACACTGTGGAACATTCCAGACAAAGCAATGGCATATTCATAGAAAAAAATAAGCAGGAGACGGACCCCCAGCCAAAAAGTCACACAGTGCACCTTTAATATTTGACAATTAAATGAATCAAACACGTTTTTGTGGTGTCATCAAAGCTTACACTTAGACTTTATTTGTTAACATAAAACGACAATTCCCACCTCCTGAAGCGGATTTCCTTTTGGCTGAGCTCAGGAGGCTGCAGTCCTCTTGTTTTAGCCGCAGCAGATGGGCCTCTCTTAGTTTCTGGGCACAACACGCCACACACATCTTTGGAAAAAATGGACAGTGAAAAGCTCTGTGACCTACAAGCCCCCGACTGTCAGACACATCAGAGTAAAGTGTGGAGCCTCCGTCCGGTAAAACTGAAGGGGCAGTGCTTTACAGAAGTGCAGCTGCTTCCTCAAACCTCGAAATAGTGAAAGAAAACATCACTGAATAATTTACTTTGCATCAGAGCCGGATGGAGGCTACAACATGAGCAAAGGGAAGTCTGTGCATGTCTCTGTCACTGAGAATAAATACTGAATGTGTCTCATAAAGTTCATTCACTTTAAACTGGGCGATATGAGATAGAAATTAATCATTTTTTAAGCTCAATTTTTGTTTCAGTTTTATTTTGCTTTATTAAATTAGTCCTATTGTGCTTGTGTCTGCTGTATAGCTCTAATACTTGGACTTAAACAAACGTTAACTGATCCATAAGGGAAATAACTTGGACACTGTAGCTCACACATCACATTATACTACAATAACAAAGAGTAAAACAATATAAAAATGGTAATGAACTTAAGTAAATAAGTAGCAATAAAAAATATTTAAAAAATTGAAGAAACTGGTGTCAAATAAGAGATAAATTATATAAATGTATGCACAGTAAATAAAAAACAAATACTGAAATATAAAAACAGTTTATCACAGTTATATATAAGAGGTCGTAAGGAAACTACAAAGATGATGAGTTGTTGTACAGTTGTAGGGAGCATTATCTGTTACATAAGGGTGAGTTGAACAGTTGTAGGGAGCATTATTTGTTACATAAGGGTGAGTTGTACAGTTGTAGGGAGTATTATCTGATACATAAAGGTGAGTTGTTGTACAGTTGTAGGGAGTATTATCTGATACATAAAGGTGAGTTGTTGTACAGTTGTAGGGAGTATTATCTGATACATAAAGGTGAGTTGTTGTACAGTTGTAGGGAGTATTATTGATACATAAGGGTGAGTTGTACAGTTGTAGGGAGTATTATCTGATACATAAAGGTGAGTTGTACAGTTGTAGGGAGTATTATCTGATACGTAAGGGTGAGTTGTTGCACAGTTGTAGGGAGTATTATCTGTTACATAAAGGTGAGTTGTTGTACAGTTGTAGGGAGTATTATCTGATACATAAAGGTGAGTTGTTGTACAGTTGTAGGGAGTATTATCTGATACATAAAGGTGAGTTGTTGTACAGTTGTAGGGAGTATTATCTGTTACATAAAGGTGAGTTGTTGTACAGTTGTAGGGAGTATTATCTGATACATAAAGGTGAGTTGTTGTACAGTTGTAGGGAGTATTATCTGATACATAAGGGTGAGTTGTACAGTTGTAGGGAGTATTATCTGATACATAAAGGTGAGTTGTACAGTTGTAGGGAGTATTATCTGATACGTAAGGGTGAGTTGTTGCACAGTTGTAGGGAGTATTATCTGTTACATAAAGGTGAGTTGTTGTACAGTTGTAGGGAGTATTATCTGTTACATAAAGGTGAGTTGTTGTACAGTTGTAGGGAGTATTATCTGTTACATAAGGGTGAGTTGTTGTACAGTTGTAGGGAGTATTATCTGATACATAAAGGTGAGTTGTACAGTTGTAGGGAGTATTATCTGTTACATAAAGGTGAGTTGTTGTACAGTTGTAGGGAGTATTATCTGATACATAAGGGTGAGTTGTTGTACAGTTGTTAGGGAGTATTATCTGTTACATAAAGGTGAGTTGTTGTACAGTTGTAGGGAGTATTATCTGTTACATAAAGGTGAGTTGTTGTACAGTTGTAGGGAGTATTATCTGATACATAAAGGTGAGTTGTTGTACAGTTGTAGGGAGTATTATCTGATACATAAAGGTGAGTTGTACAGTTGTAGGGAGTATTATCTGTTACATAAAGGTGAGTTGTTGTACAGTTGTAGGGAGTATTATCTGATACATAAGGGTGAGTTGTTGTACAGTTGTAGGGAGTATTATCTGATACATAAAGGTGAGTTGTACAGTTGTAGGGAGTATTATCTGATACGTAAGGGTGAGTTGTTGCACAGTTGTAGGGAGTATTATCTGTTACATAAAGGTGAGTTGTTGTACAGTTGTAGGGAGTATTATCTGATACATAAAGGTGAGTCATTGTATAGTTGTAGGGAGTATTATCTGTCCCTCTATAGTCTGGTGCAGTGGGTGAGTTGTTGTAGAGTTGTAGGGAGTATTATTTGTTACATAAGGATGTGTTGTTGTACAGTTGTAGGGAGTATTATCTGTTCCTCTTTAGTCTGGTGCATTGGGTGAGTTGTTGTACAGTTGTAGGGAGTATTATCTGTTACATAAGGGTGAGTTGTACAGGTGTAGGGAGTATCATCTCTTACGCAAGGGTGAGTTGTTGTACAGTTGTAGGGAGTATTATCTGTTACATAAGGGCGAGTTGTACAGGTGTAGGGAGTATCATCTCTTACGCAAGGGTGAGTTGTTGTACAGTTGTAGGGAGTATTATCTGTCCCTGTATAGTCTGGTGCAGTGGGTGAGCAGGAGTGTCCATGATGGAGAGCAGTTTGTCCAGTGTCCTCCTGTCCCTCGCTGTGACAAATGTCTACAAATCACAATATTTATCAAAAATAACTCAATAAAACAAAGTGGAAAAGTAGAAAAATTAAATGCCCAGTGGGAGGTGACGACGCTGTTAATGTGAAATGTAAAAATACAACAGGAACACACACTTTTACTGACAGTGGATTGGCTCTCGACATCTCTATTAAAAATACACAACCATATTTTTGACAATTAGAAATGTCTGTATCTTGATCACTATTAAAATTTAATAATAATAAACCTTTATTTATAAAACACTTTTGAAAACAAATGCTGTACAAGCCGCAAAGAACAATACAAAAAGCATAAAAATAGCAAACAAAAGGCATACAAAAACAAAGACAATGATGCAAACAATTCAAGCAGTTATAATAAATAAAATAAAAATAAAAAAATCAATCAAAATAAATAAGGCCAACTGATTAAAAATAGGATTTAAGAAGTAATTTAAAAGATGATTTCCTCAGTCAGGTCATTCCAAAGCCGAGGCGTCCGGACGGAAAAGACTCGATCACCTTTCGTCACCTTCCGTCCTGTGTGATTAATTGCACAGCCCTACTTTTGACTTTTTGTTTTACTTTCTGTATCCACTGGTTTTCTGTGTTAAAGAAAGTTCCCACACTTTGCAGTTTTCGTTTCTAAGCCTTTCGCACAAAATCCCTCTGAATCTCGAACCGTCTTCTTTGCGGCGAGTGTTTGTTTTCTCAGATAAGTCTCAGGAAGCCACATCAAAGCTGGTGTGAGTGGGACTGTGTAACTCTGAGCTCCGCGATCTAAAGATTACTCTGTTTCTCTACTGGGAGATTGACCTGCTATGTGCAAAACATACACAGAAGCAGAGGCCAAGTCCATATATTCTGGTGTAGCTTTGTATGTGTAAGAGGTTAAAATCAGAAATGAGCCTAAGTGAGG